CCGGACAGCACTATTTCAGCGCCGGACAGCACTATTTCAGCGCCGGACAGCAACATCTCAGCACCGGAAAGCACTATTTCAGCGCTGGACAGCACTATTTATTCATTTAAAAATGTAAATGTGAAAATATGAATTTTCCCCCCGTACCACTAGAGAGCGCTCGCGTACCACTGGTGGTACACGTACCACAGTTTGAGAACCACTGCACTTTATACTCGCTTATACACCAGCATGCAGGGCTCAGTTAATGTTACACAATATTGTCATTATAAAAAGTTACATCCCCAAAATGCTTAACCGTTTTCCGATCATTAATTATGTTTTATTGAAATAAGTCACATTTATCACTGACACAATTCAAGTTTGAAACTATTTCTCAAAAATGGTTAACTTTCTAAACAACAACAACAAAAAATAAATCAAAATATATTATATATATATATATTAGTATATTGGTATTTCAAGCAGATTCTTATATGTTATTGGCATTTGAAAAAAAAACAAACATTTGTGATTAAATGGTCCTAAATTATAACATTACCACCGAGATTAAACTCGCTGACATAATTGCCTTACAACAAAGAACACGTCACGTATAAAAATTAGATTTCTATTTATCGGAACTAGAACACAAGTTGTTTTTTTTTTTTTGCGTATTAGTCTCGCCTCACCACATCCTAACCCAGTTTCACCCACTTTCCTCTAAAACACTCTGTTCCTTGGTTGTAAACTGAAAACACAATCTGTCTTCGGCAATAAACTACAGCAGATGGTGAGGTTTTCCATGAGCTCGTACACTCTTTAATTAATGGAATGGAGATTAGGGGGCATTCTACCCACATCATTAGTGAACAGAGGAATTAAGACATTTTGTGAGTAATAATCCCGAGGCTGTCCGTGGATGCACATGTGGTTCTCTCACTCGTCCTGCTGACCTGCTTTTCTCCACCCCGCATGGGCATCGTTGCGTAAACTTAGTAGCTGGGATAAGTGGACATTTCAGGGGGTTTAAAAATACAAAAGCTATTATCTCTAATACACTCCTCGCCTCCGTTACACACATCTGTATGTGCACACGCACACGGATTCTCACATGAGAGCAAAAAGTACAAACACAATCCCTCCTTTAACCTTTAGCCTTTAACTACTTTCCAGAATAAAACCAAAAGGATTCAAGTCCAGCTTAAAAACAGGGAATAAAATTAAGCACTTTTTGTCAGAAACAGTTTCATATTAAGCCAGTGCCCCCCCCCAACCCCCCGGGGACAGAAATATTTTGACGTCCCCCCGCCCTCTAACCACACCCCCGCAATTGAAATACTATTAAGAACCTGATTACATGTATATCTTTATCTGTACAAACCACTGTATGAGGTGCTGCCACCTAGTGACTGGAGGCTTGTTGTCATTCAAGCATTACAGCAGTGGTACACTACTGTCCAGCGGACAGGCCCTCAAAATACGTAGAATAAATATTAATATTTTTTACACATTACACATTTTTTTGACATTTTATTAAGTAAAAATCGCCAAATTTGAGCATTTCAAGATCAAATGCAGGGCCAAAACAGCCCGTTTCTGTTCCTCAGCATGTCGCCAATATGAACTTTACAGAACTATTTGTTCTACAGCACGACTCTCTACAGTCTGTGTAATGTCTTTAATGTCTGTGCGAGAGAATTGTTTCTGCTGATCTTACGAAGAAAGTGCAGAGAAAAGTCAGCAGGAGAGGCAGGCAGTACTCTGCCTCACCTCAAGGGGGCGTCTGGAGGGCAAAATTAAATTTGTGCTGCACTCATCTCTATACTTTAATTTGTTTACAGTAAATATGAATTGCTTAGACACAAGAAGAGTGCTCTGTCCATTTGTATAAAAGAAACGTTCTTTGTACGACAGCTATGTTCCTGTATATATTTGTGTTGGTGTCAGTGTCATTGAAAGAGGAATGGTGATGGATATGAACCATGGAGATGCCGTTAAATGAATAGTGAAAATAAGATGCTCTTTTCAGGTTCTTACAATTGTAAATCAGACTGCAGAGAAGTAAAGTAAAGGTCAAAGTAAAAATATTGCGATCCAACATGGCTGCTTACACAACAATCAACTAAAATGAAAAATCACTACACCTGAATCTCACCCTGCTCACAGATTATTGGGTTCGGTATTTTTTTCTTTTCTTTTCACTTTGCTTCGCCTCCTGAGTTTTTTCAGGGTCCTCACCTGCATTATTAAACTGTAGGCTCAGTGTGCAGGCTTCCCCCCCCCCTTGTTTTTTTCCGCTTTTTGATAACCTGACACGAATGTCACGGGGACGAGAGACAGGTGGAAAGAGACTTGTTATTGGAGCGCTCAAGCGGAAACCTCCTGTCACCAACGCTTGGCACAGAAAGCCTGTAGGAATCAACAACATTAAATTCTTGTCAGACCAAGCTGCATCAGTGGAAAGGACTCGTTTTCTCCCCTCTCCTTCACCTGTTTCATTTTATACTGAAACAACATGTCATCGCTGACAATGACGACATTTGCTTTGGACCCACCGAGAGAAGCTGAAAGCTACATATACATGTAAACAATGTAGCATATCATGCTAAGGTGAATGTTTAGATATTGTAGTCTGTCGTTATACATAAAGCTAACCGGGAATAACGTTTAGATAAAAAATGACCTTATATTATAAATTAAGGCGGTTTATGCTGAAACTAAACAGCTACACTACATATATACATATATATGCACACATATATACATATATATGTGTATATATATATATATATATATGAATCAAGTAGAATAAATGAATGAATTAATGAATGATTAAACAAATGAATGAATCCAAATAAAATGTAACAGCGCCAGTAAAAAACAAAAAAATCCCCCCAAAAAACATGAATCCTATTTCTTGATATGTGACAATATTCTTTTGTTGTATTTTCTGTAACTGTGCAAATCAACAAATGTATTTGTAAAACTGTGAATATATAGTGTAGTTCTTTTGCTAAAAAATACATGCAGTTCAATCCAAGACATAAAAAACAAAACAAAACAAAAAAAACAACAGTATTGACAATGGCTACATTACTGAAGACATTATGTCAGGTAACATTGAAAGGTTTTTTTTTACATGAAGTACATTTGACATGTATCATTTGATCAAAAAGCGACAAGGAAGTTAAACTACAAAAGGATGGGCAGCTAGATTCATATCATGGTCAGTTTAGATAACCTGGTTACCTTTCTAGTGTGCAATTAACCTTAATAAACCTTTAAAGCAGGCATAGGAAAACTAAGGCCCGGGGGCCGGATAGGGCCCCGTTCATCTTTTTAATCCGGCCCGCCAAACTTTTCCAAATTATATAATTTATTTATATTATCATTATACTTTTGTTTTTTTTTCCTGCAATGCCCATGTTTCCCCAATAGATGATAACATGATAAAAGCATTTTAGAATTTTAATAACAAGCCTTCATGCATGACTTTTACATATCAATTATATTAGTTCACATGAACTGCTCCATCTACCTGCTACCGGATCCAACCCCCGTTGTTCAATTTTAGGACACACCTGCTTTAAAGCATATTTTTGATTTGTGCAAAGAAGAAGAAGAAATCCGGACACACATGGTGGAGAACTTGCAAAGTTCATGCAGAAAGACCACCAGGAATAAGCACTTAAACATTTCCATGCACCTTAACAGGCCATTAAATGGACTTGGAGTCTCAGACAGGTCCAGAAGACCTCACCGTGCACCGGAGCCTTTGCACAAGTAAGAAAACACGAGTTCAGCTTGACAACCTTTCCGAATATGTGTGCAGCGAAACATCATTATAACTCCACTCCTTGGCTGACCAGTCAGCTGTGAGAAGCGGTCTGCCGAGCGCTCACGGTGAATAAGAGACCCCCGCGCCTCCTGTTAGCTCACATGCCAGTCAACA